AATCTCGGTATGGCTGGGGCTCGACTCACGCATCTGACCTAAAAGCACTGTGTTAAAAGCCATGAGTGCTTTGACGGAGCTCATGAACGTCAGCGTCTCAGGGTTGTTTGTCGTACGGAGTACTTTGTGGAGAACATCCACCTTGGCGTCGGCAGCAGCCAAGCGATCCGGTAACAATTGGAGGTTAGTCGTCTATTCAGCAGCCGCCATATCACTAATTATCTCTTGAAAAGGCATCGGTTTAATCGTCTTGGCCACATTGGTGTGGAGCTGAATAAGAAAGTGACTGGCTTCCTTGCTAGAGTTTATGTCGCGTGGAGCTTGTACCTTTCGCGGGACGATCTGAAAGTGCGGGTCGTAACCTTGTCGATCGTCGCTGGACAACAGCCGAACTCGACCTCGATTGTGCTGAGGACGTCGAAATAGTTACTTGTTGTAACTCCGGTAAGAGGTGTTGGACGAGATTTTATCAGCATGTTTGTATATCCGACATTAGCACGCGATTGCTTGTCTTTACGCTTTCTAGCAGTAGTTAGCAGCAACGCAGAATGTGACGCTACTGCTGCTGGTGGAGGTAACAGTGGCCGAGAAAATCTCAGGCTGCCAGGTGATGACACGACTTAAGAGCCTGCAGTACCAAGAGAGATCTCGCTGGGCGCTGGATCGTCATTTGAGGTCGCGGCGGAAGTCACCGCATCTATCTTGGTGGATCCTTTGCAGAGCGATCACTGAAGAGAAGTTTTATTTGTGCTCCGACTTACCACCATAGCTTATGATGGCGGGTCGGAGATAGGTTCGGTCGGGCGCGGGTGACAGTTGAAGTCCGGGCAACGGCCTTAGCCAGGTCGAGCTCATAGATGGAACGTTGACCGAACGACATGCGCTGGGTCGGAAAAGGAGCGCTTTAAGCATGTACCGGATAAATGCAGCCAGTAAAACCGAGCGGGTCGAACACACAATAAGCTCAGGAGGGCACCGACTAGAACGGAAGTACACACGCCACGTGGCTGTGGTAATCACTGCTTCCAGATTTACATCTTGGAATGTACCGTATATCGGCTGTGCTCCAAGCTCGAAGAAGCGTTTCCGCGTGAGGTCTGTGTCGAAATCTTTGTCGACACTCTACTCATCAATGAACTGGCGGTCGGCAAGATCGTTAAACTCGCCGAATTGGCATGTACCCCCCC